CAGCACCAGCACACCAGCACCAGCACCACCACGACCACCACCAACACCACGACCACCACCAACACCACGACCACCACCAACAACAACAACCACAACCACAACCACAACAAAGGCAGCAGCAACAACAACAACAACCACCACAACGACAACGACAACGACAACGACAAGGACAACGACGACGACGACGACGACAACAACAACAATCAACAATCAACAATCAACAATCAACAGACAGCAAACAGCAAACAGAAAACAACAAACAAACGGGACAGAGCTGACGACGGTCTTCTTTGCTGTAAAGAGTAGTAGTATTATGCCAGTCACAACGGAGACAGGTCCGGTGGAAAATGAAATTCATGCACCCAATCTCGAGGCAGGTACTTCGATTTCCTGGATGACGAAAAGGAGGGCTTCTTGACCCAGGATGGGCACATGCTGCCGGTTCGGGCTTTGGAGGAACGTTGAGATGCTCTGCCCGCCAGGAGCATATGTTGACCGTCGTCAGGACGCTGAAAAAGGCCTCAGCGTTTCACGTGTTCGGTGGCTTTGATTTTTGTTGGATTGCTTTGCCGGAATCAAGGATTGCTGCTCTTCGGGGCAGCAGGGCAGGGCATGCAAGTCTTCGGGTACGGAGCTGCACTCCTGAGCTTGTCAGCGCTTGTGCATGGTCTCTGCTTGCAGATGCTGCCGAAGCTCCAAACTTCAAATCCTCCACCGAAGCCATGCCCGCCTGGAGTGTGCCCAAGCCCGACAGGTTACCAAGGAAACCACGATCACGGACACCGCCGAAGTCTCTGAGGAGACTCAGACTCTAAGTAAGCTCGAGGCGCACGAGGGTTACGGTTGCTTGCCTTTGCTGTTTGGTTTAGCTGCCTCTTTGGAATGGGATGAAGGTGTGGGGGCAGGATGGGGAAGGCGAACGTATGAGGGAGATGTTTCTACCCGAAACCTCACAGACGCCGCATTGGGGCTTCTTGATCCGCTGGTGCAAGTAAGCCTCCTGCAGGCCAAGCTCCTTAAGAAAGGGAGCATCAAATCAACACGGCTGTATTTTGGATCCAACGGGATGAAGGCTTGGTGGGGGCGACTTTAGTGGAGGTTCAAAGCCGATGGAAGGCCTCAAAAGCGACGACTACCTGCTGACCCGCGGCAAATCCAAATAGCCCACAATTGAACACGCCCGAAGGCCCGGGCATTCGCTGCAGCCCCACCTTGATTTGAAGCCCCTGTGAGCTCGTCCTTCCCGAAGTGAAAAACCCCTGCTCTCGGATCGGCGCGGAGTGGCACTGATTTTTCGCTCCCAAGCCCGTGAGACCCGTGAGCAGGTTGGCGACCTCCTGGAGCTGCTCTCCGAGCCATCGGAGCATGGCCGGGGGCTCTGTTTCGCGCCCTGCGGTGGGCTTTCCCGATCCTCAGGCATTGGGAGGTAGACTAGATAGAGAGCACAAATCTCCAGCGACTCGTCTGGGATAAAGACAACCCGCTTCTGCAGGCGACCTTCTACGGGCAAGGTGCCGTGCTATGAAAGATGGAACCAGGGGCTGGGTGCCGTGGCACGCAACCGGTTTGAGGAGGGACATGGGATTTCGGGTTGACTGTAGGAACGATTCCGCACATTCAGCTAGTGGACGTGTTCCTGAGAATGTTGGGCTTTAAGGTTTCGGATTCGTGGCTTCAGGATGTGCGTAGTGCAGAGCCCAGAGCCCCTAGCCTGCTGCGCAGAGACCCTTCCATGTTTCCGAGCCGAGAGCCGAGATTCCCACCAACTCAAGCCCCAAAGACTTGCCGATCTCGAGCTCACAACCCCCGCGACCACAGCGAGTCTGAAACAGCGGCCCTCTGCCCTGAAAGTTATGAAGACACATGTCAAGAGGTTAACACACGGACACCCGATAAAAGCTTGGAAATCGTCTGAAGACTTCTTTGAAAAGTATCTGACTCTGCATAATTCAGAGTGTCGGCGTTCCTCAAACCAAAACTGCCAAGTCCGCACCTCGATCCAGGTCTCGGTCAAATCCAACAATGCCATGGGACCGGCGGAACCCTCAGCATCGTTGAAGCTTGGAGTTCAGGTCTGCAGGACTGTAGAGGTTTTGGGTTTAGGGCCTGTGGATCCTGCTGTTCTAGAGTTTGCGAGTCTGCTTCTCTCTGATTGCCTGTCTCATACACTACTGGGCGTGAGCAAGAGCGGACATGCCCAGGGTGTAGCGAGACATGTATGTCTAGGTAGTATCAGCTCTTGGCGAACTAACACCGGGGCTGACACCTTCCTTTAGCCTGGATCCCCAAATCTTCACCGCTTAATGAAGAGGTCACTGTGATTACTTGCCGTTCTGCGGCTTCGTCCTTGCAGAGTATGAGGGTTCTCCTGGAAAAAAAGCACAGCCTGCCAAGTGGAGTCTCCGGACACTGGCATGCGGGAGCCAAAAACATGAAGTGGACAGTAGGTGACAGTACCTTCAGGCTTAGCTGAGCTCGAATTGTTTGTGTATGTTTGTTCATTTGATCGACATTGCATTCCGGGTTTGATGGTGTCGCGCACAGATGTCCCTCCTTTAAGCAGGTCTGGGAAGCTGCCGGGACTGCCCAGGATTTAGGGAAAGGCCTCCTTCCAACAAGAGGTCTTCTATCCTGATGTAGCCCTTTGGTCTTGAGGCCTTAAGAGTCTCCTAGATCCTAAATCTTAAGCCCGAGACCACAGAGATGACATTGAGAGCCTAACCACAAGATGCCCCGCTTAAATTGTCCGAGCAGCGAGAGGTGGAGCCATGAATAGACCATAAAGCCTGAAATTATCCTCCAAGCCCGGTACGTGCAGGATCACCCAAGTGCTTTCCAGATGTGTCTCGTTAGCCCTGCTTAGCGGTCCGATCTTGTAATGCGGGAGGCAAAAAGCCCTAAACCCTCAAAGACCTTCCTAAGAGATTGCAGGTCTTCCTCCAAGATGGCGGCCGCATCTGGAGGGTGCAGAAGGTGGCAGGGAGGGTTTGGAAGAAGAACTCCGAGGTTAGTTTAGGGCCGAGGAAACTGAAAAATAAGTCTTCTTAATCTACGTAGAGAACCACATGCAAGCAGCGACAGCTGTGTCAAGGCGGGCATCGTGGGCAAGCTCTGTTCCCCGCGTTGTGCCTGTTTTGTCTAGCTTGCTTAGTCTTTGAGTGCTTGTGTGCTTCTGCAGTTTCAGATATGGGGTCAAACCATAACCCGGCACCCCTGAACGTTTCCTCTGCTTGGCTCGGCTGGTCAGACGTTGTGCGAAACCGGGAAGTCCCTGCAAGATGCTGATCCCAGAAGTTGAATGATGGAGGGGCCTGGAAACTGATGATGGTGATGACATCACTGCGAGTGTTTACAGTGACGTTTTTCTTTTTTTAAATTTGCTACCGTTACTACAACCGCCATCACTACACGACGAGTACTGGGACGAGAACGACGACGACTACTACCGCTAGTGCAAGTGCTACCTGCTGCCGCTACTACTACTCTTACTGCCACTACTAAGTCACTACTACGACGACGACGACTGCTAGTACTATTTTTCTGCTGCGACTACCATTCTTACTGCTGCTGCTACTACTACTCCTACTCCTACTACTACTACTACTACTACTACTACTACTACTAGTACTACTAGTACTACTACTACTACTACTACTACTACTACTACTACTACTACTGGTGCTAGTACTCGTGCTCGTG